TATATTCAGGAACTGAATGACAAAAAAGGTTCTGGGGAAGTTTGATTTAACTTTAGTACTGGCATGCAAGATAAAATAGATAACTTTTCTAGTCTTGAAACAAGAGTAAATTGTTTCCTTTCAAGGACTAAGGAAAATAGGATGACTCAAGATAAACACCTGTGAAAAGAGCAGATACAACATACTGGAGGCAGAGTTTGACTTCTACCTGCTTCATAAAGGTGGTAACATCCATAGTATTAAATAGCTACATGGTCAGACATGTCACCCTATAGTCTCCTGCACCTATTTCTATGAATCATTGGTTCCAGTTTTTTTGCAAATTGACTCAAGACTTTACTCACAGTTGTGGGTTTATTAGGGAAACAGGTTATGAGAGTTTGGGGATGAGACAAGGAATACCATATAAGTACAGGTTTAGTGCAGCAATCAAAAATCAGATGAACAAGGCACAGTTTCTCAATTAGTTTAGACAGCTTCTCAGACAACAAGTATGACTTTTGGTGCAATTCAGCACAAATAAATCTCTGATTTCCTCAATCTCCCAGCAAACTTTATCTCAGAGCAGTTATAAGTCTGCTTTTCATTCAATGATCCAGCAAACAACACCTTTACCTGTGGCTCCATCTCCAAGGTTTCTCTGGTTATATCTTGCCACTTACTTCATAGCAGTGCCACCGTCTCTTCACCCTCTTTCCACCACCATCTCTTACAGTGCATAAAGTTTTCTCTTTTATTGGTCCCACAGCTGTAGATGATTTGAAAGACCTTGTTTCCACAGTTAAGGTAGGTGGAGACTGTGATTCTAATGAGAGCTAACACAATTTCCAGGAAAGCCAATTTTTAAGGGTTCTGACATTTTAACACCGCAATGACAGCCTATAAAAATAGCAGCTTCACAGTTGGGTGGGTTCATCCAATGAACAACTCATTGGGACTTGGAAAGAAAATATTAGGTTTTCCATTTACATTTTTTATCTTAGAAAAAGAAAAGTTGACCCAAGTTCCTTAACTTAGTCAAGATGTCAGATGGCTCTGTCATTATTTTGTGAAGAGTGACCTGAGAGAAGATCAGATATTCCACTATTTGGAGAGTTGATGGTGGTGGCACACTATTCACTTGACTGCACCATTTGTATTTCTGTTCTTCATCATCAATTTCCTATTTCCATTAGAACAAATTCTCAACTATTGAACTCAATACAACAAATGCTCACAGTCATGAGGGTCTGGGTTATAATCTAGAGAGGAATAAAAAGCTTTAGACTTCAAGTAAAAATGATAAAATGCTTATGCAGATGTGTGTGGGTGTGAGATAGCTAAGCAAAAGTCAATGAAAGCAACCATACTTGTGCTATTTTAATAAAAGTTCACAATTATAGAACTACAAAATAATTGAAAATATGCTACATCTAAATGCAGGGTTTTTTTAAAGTCTAAGTTTTACCATTTAATGTAGACATGGCTACATTTGTATATTTTTTTTTTGAGAATGGACATCAGATGGCACTTAACCTAACAACCTGAACATTCATGGTCACTGCTACTTCAACATACAGGTTAAATTCCATGAGATCATGTGTCTAGGTTAGTTCACTCCTCTGAGTATTCATTTCTTCACCTGTAAGGTGATCTATAACTTTATAGGTTATATATCTATCCTGAAGTACACTGCTGGGATGTGTAGGATAATATTCACCGTGTTAGGGTAATGCTCTTGCACCTTCATGGCAGACAAGTTAACACAACTTTTATTCAAATTTATGTACCAAATGCTATGGCCAAAATAGGAAATTGAGGAATTTTTTTTACCAACTTCAACAGTGTGAAACTGATCAAACATGTAATCAAGATGCATTGATTGCAATGTGAAAATGAAAAACAAAGAAGGACCAGGAGTTAGAAAAAATAGTTTTCATGAAACGATGAACAAAAGATCAAATGGCAGAATTCTGCAAAACCATTAACTCTTTCATTAAAAATACCATTTTCTTAATAACATAAAAAGGAGGGAACTCTGGTGATCTAGTCTGTAGGGAGTTGTGCTGCTTATCCAAAAGTCATGCCCCTTGGGTAGTAAGAATACAGCAGTAGATCTGTGAGTGGAAATGGGCAATCTCTTCCTGTGTTGGTCTTGGAAACTCACTAGAGGGTCAGCTCTGAGTCAGTTTTAACTGGACAGCAGTGAGGTGTTTTTGTTTTTTGTAAATACACATGGACCTCATTAGATGAAATACATGGGAATCAAATTGACTACATCCATGCAAAGATATAGAGGAGAAGCATAATATTCAGAACAATGCCAGGGACTGATTGCAGAACAATTGCTCATATGCACGTTCAAGTTGAAACTGTGGAATATTAAGTCCAGGTGAGACAAGCTAAGAATTAATTATATCCTAAATGAATTTGGAGACCATCCAAAGAATATATCTGACACACTGAACATAAATGATATAAGATCAGAGAAGTTATGGAATGAAATAAAGGACATCATTCATGAAAAAGGCAAAAAAGAATTTTAAGAAGTTTGTTGTTGTTAGGTGCCATTGAGTAGAGTATGACTCATAGTGACCCTATGAACAACAGGTCTGAGCCCTGTCCTGTTCTGTGTCATCCTTACAATCTCTGACATACTTGGGCTCATTGCTGTGGTCACTGTGTCAACCTACCTTGCTGACAGTCTTCTCCTTTATCATTCCTCTATCTTCCTAAGCATGATGTCTTTCTAAAAAAAAAAATAATAATAGCCTCTCCTAACAACAGTTCCGAAGTATGTGCGATGAAGCTTTGTCATCTTGCTTCCAGGGAGCACTCTGACTTCACCTTCTTGAAGACCTAGCTTTTTGTTCTTTTGGCAGTCCATGGGATATCCAGTACACTTCTCCAACACCACAGTTTAAAGGCATCAATTTCCCTCCCCCTGTCATCCTTATTCATTGTCTAGCTCTCAAATGCATAGCAAGTAAAGGGAATGGGGGAAGAATAAAATGGATGTGAGGAGAAACTGTGAAACTTGCTCTTGAATGTACAGAAACTAAAGGAAGAAATGGTAATGTAATCGAGTGGAACAAAAACTTTCAAAAGGTTGGTCAAGAAAACAAAGTATTTTAATGAAATGTACAAAAAAATTGGAACTAGAAAACCAAAAAGGAAGAACATAGTTGGCATTGCTCAAGCTAAAAGAACTGAAGGGAGAAAAAACAACCACAAAACCCTAGCCTTAAGTTGTGATACCGAAGCATTTTGTGGGCAAAAAATTAAATGTCAAAAGATGCATGAAAAGAAGATAAAAGGAAACACAGGCTTTGGACCAAAAAAGAACTGGCCAATGTCCAACCATTTAAGATGCAGTATATGATTAAGAATGGAGCTCTGGTGGCTTAGTGGTAAAGAGTTGCACTGCAAACTGAAAGGAACACAGTTCAAATCCAGCTGCTGCTCAGTGGGAGAAAGATGGGGTGTCTCCTCCCCTGTGGAGAGCTGCCTCTGAAAACCTAATGGTCAGCTTTGAGTCAGTTCTTACTTAATAATACATAACAACAACAATATGATCAAGAACCCATATTATTGAAGGAAGAAGTACAAGCCACAGCGAAGGAGCTAGAGAAAACAAGTCTCCAGATATTACCTGAGTGCTGATCGAGATGTTTCAACAAATGGATGCAATGCTGGAAGAAATCAGTGTCAAGAAACTTGGAAAAGAGTTATCTGGCTAACAAGCTGGAAAGAGATAAAAAAAAAAGGTGATCCAGAAGAAATGTGGAAATTACTCAACAATATCACTTGCAATTAAAATAATGCTGAAATTAATGAAACTATTCTAGCAGTACACTGACAGGAAACTTCCAGAATTTCAAACCAGATTCAGAAGAGGCTATGAAACAAGGTATATAATGGTGATACCAGATGAATCTTGGCTGAAGGCAGAGAGTACAAGACATTACTTGTGTTTTACTGACTATGTAAAGGTGTTCAACTGTGTGGATCATAACAAATTATGGATGACATTACAAGGAATAGGAGTTCCAGAACACTTAATTGTGCTCATGTGGAGGAATCTTTACAGAGATCAAGAGATGGTCATTTAAAAACAGAATAGGGTATTTGGCCTGGAGAAAATGCGCGAGTCACCTTACTTTCATCATACTTAGATGCTGAAGCAAATAATCTGAGGAGTTGGAAATTATGAAGACTCATTGAAGGAAGAACCATTAACAATCTGTGAAAATACAGATGATACAGCCCGGCTTGTCAGAAGAGGAAGATGACTTCAGCATTTTCCAATGAAGATCAAAGACTTCAATATGTCTTACACCTCAAGATTAAGGTAACAAAAATCTAATAATAGTATCGTAAGTGAGAAAAGACCGACATTTTTGTGTTTCAATCTACTACATCCACAATTAACACTAGGACAGAAGCAGCAGTCAAGAAATCAAAATGTGTCTTGCACTAGGCAAATGCGTTGTCAAAGACTTGTTTAAAATATTAAAAAGTAATGATGTGTCTTGGAGGAAAAAGGTGTATCTGACCAAAGCCATGATATTTTCACTATCATGTCAGTATCAATGTGCAAGTGAAAGTCGGACAATGAATAAAGAAAAGCAAACAAGAATTGTATACCATGGACTGCCAGAGAACGAACAAAGCTATTTTGAAAAAAGGACAGCCATAATTTTTCTGAAGAGCAAATACAGTTAATTACATATTTTATTCAACAACTGTTTCACTGAGTGTGTATTAAATAAAACTCCTTTTTTCACATGATGTCTCCATTTCCCAGAGTAATGGAATCATTGTTTCAGCAACATCGATCTGCAGGGGAAAACTCTAGATTCTATTAGGGCTATCCATGAACGGCTGAGAACACAGCACAGCACTCTGTGAGTCACTGTCGGTGAGCAACAGAAAAGCGCTTCCGCTCCGCGGGCCCAGGAGGAGAGAGAGGCCCGCCCACAGGTCACGTGGGTCCCAGGCATTCCGGCCTCACTGGGCACTCAGGGGGACTCTGTACGCCACGTCACGTAACTTGGTCCATCCAAGCAAGGGTGGAGACCTTCTTTATTACAGCCATGAGAAAAAGACTGCTCACGTCCACTGTGATAACCGAAGGGCGCTACATCCTTTGTAGGGCCAGTTTCTTCGTCGCAGATCAGTGGCTTTGAAGAAGAGGCCAAGAGGCCATCTCGGCTTCCTCTCGCCGCCCTGCTCCCCCCGCTCGTAGCGTTCCCGTTGGTATCGTCCGCGCCCCGCCTCCACGCCGCCTCGCCCCCTAGCGCTCGGGCGGGGGCGGGCCCCTCACGTGACCCCCGTGCGCGGCCGCGGGAGGAGCGAAGTCTTGGGTCCGAGGCGCAGGGGACGGAAACGCTAGCCGAGCGTGGTGCGCTGCAGCTATTCGCGAGTTCCAGTTCTGAGGACGCGATGTCGGGGCTTTCTCTCCGGCTCCTCTGGGCCGCCACCTGCCTGGCTGCGCTCTCTGTGCTATCTGTGGACTCGAATTCCACCACTCCGGAGTCTCTCGCCAATATCACGACTTTAACGCCGACCACTAAGATAACTCCGACTAACGTGACGACCCTCGCACCCAACACCACGGCCGCACCAGGTGGGCCCGGGCCCCGCGGGCTTCCTGCGTTGGCCCGCGCTCACCCCGATGCTGTTCCTCGCCTCGGTGCGCGCGGGACCGAGGCCAGGACGGCCGCGCTCGGGGTGAGGCGGCGACTCTGGCAACATGGCGACCCGCCCCGCGTCCAGTGCGGGGTCGGTCGCCGGCTGGCCGGGGTGGGTAGGGAGCGCCTCGGTGGGAAGGGGCGAGAGTACCCTAATGGTGGTCTCTGCGGAAGTGTTCCCCTTGGAAGTACTTTTTTGGGATGCATCCCCATCCCAGCCCACCTTCTCTAGGTTCGGAGGAGAGGACGTGGCTGCGTCCGGCGGTGGCGGCCGCCGAGAGGTGGCTGATGGGCCAGACCGCGCTCCCAAAGTTGCAGGCGAGACCCAGTGCCTTTCTCTGGGCTTTGTAGTCGATCATCTTGATCATCTCGCTGGAGGGCGGCTTTCCCGGAAACCGGTGAAAGAAAAAAAAAACACCAAACTTTAAAAGACAGGAATATTCTGCCGTATGAGACTTATGTAACAGTAATCAATCTTAACTGCAGTTTAATGATACTGCATCTGCAGATTGGTTTGAGATTTGATCTTTAGATGAGTGGAAAATTGACTTCTCTGCATATGCAAAGGAAGAAACGTACCTTGTTAGGCTTTGCATACACGGTCTCTGGACCAGGTCTTCGGGCAAACCCGGGAGTTCGGTGGTGAAACCTAGGAGATAGATGAGATCAAAGATGAAGCAACTCTCCAGGGAGTGTCGTGGTGGCGTGGTGATTGGAACCTCAAAAAGTCTCTCGGATGTCACACACTGTCGCTTCACACACTCCCATCGGGTTTCCTTGGCGAGGCTTGAAGTTTCTCTGCCCGTCTTTCTCCCACCGAACAGCTGGTGAATTCCAGCCGTGGCCCTTGGGTTAACAGAGCCTCATGGAGCTAACTACGCCACCAAAGCTCCTTGATTCCTAAGGAGCATAACCTTTAGGCAGATCGATGTGAAAATGCAGGCAAGGAAGGGAGGCAGATTTGATAGGATTAAGTTATTAGAAAGATCAGATCTTTAAAACCAGCAATCAGATGCAGTTGTTTTCGTTTAATCCTGGGTGAAGGCGAACTTGAGTTTTTTGGTGAAGTATGAAGACAGTGCCTTGACTTTATTTTTATGCCAAGTTTGACCGTGAATAAGGAAGACTCAAGAATGAGTGCCTTGACATTGTTCAGGTGAAGATATTGACCACACCATGGACTGCCAAAAGTACAAAGCCGTCTTGCAGCTGGAGGGAAAACATACATTCAAATCTCTGGAATAGGATTTCGTAGTTGGAAAAGTGAAGGGTCGAGAAAGACACTCAATGAATGGATTGACACAGTAACTGCAGCAGTGGGCTTAAAAGCACAGTCATCCATAAGGATGGAGCAAGATCTGGCAGGGTTTGTTCTATACAAGGGAGCTCTGAGGAGGAGAACTCCATAGGCACCTAACATCAGCAATGTTTCTTTTCTTTCTTTTTTTTTTTTTAATTTTTTTTGTGTGAGTGTACCGTCAAATCAGATCTGACTGGTACAGGAGGAGGTTGTCCCTCCTTTTCCCGGCAGAGCATCTGGTGGATTCAAACCATGTGCCTCTGGGATTGTAGTTGCAGTTTCTTGCCACTAGGCCACCAGAGCTCCCCTAGCAATGTTTCTTGCTGGCCATGTTCCATGTTAGATGTATTTAAAGTATAATGTAACATAATTCTTCAGCTAAAGAAAGGTGTGAAAAGCTTAACATGAGGAAAATGAATTGCAGTTGTACTGAGAATTTTAGCTACCCCTTTAAATATGATAGAGCAGAATACTTTGTGTCTTCTATTTATTTGATGTTTTACTCCCAGAATTGTATGGTTTTGTTATTTGTTTTGTTACAAGAAAAAAATTGAAATACTAATTGCCTTAGTGTAATTCAAATGCATGGAGAAGAGTTATTTCTGGGAATTTTAGTTGGCTAAGCTGTAATATGAAAGGTACTCCATTGTAAATCACAATCACTGTGCTACCCACTTATTATCAAGCAAACAAGATTTTAAAAAGCTAGCATTCTTCATCTTTATGAAGAACTATTGTTTCTACTTTGTGTCCTTTTCTGAGGGCCACATGTCCTGCTATTGTTGTGTACCATCGAGTCAGAACCAACTTAGAGCTGACCCTCCAGTGAGTTTTCAGAGGCAGTAAATCACATGGGAATTGATGCCCATCTTTCTCCTGTAGAACAGCTGGTTGATTCAAACCATGTGACTTTGGGATGGCCCCACAACTCCCTACCATTAGGCCACCAGAGGTCCCTCTTCCTGCCCTGGCTTCTAATAAGTACATTCAAAGGCATTGCCTCAGGTTTTTAGGCAGGGTTGAGGGTGAGGAGAGGGAAGCCAACGGGAATATCCTAGGTAGGATGATGGAGCCATTTCTGTATCCCAGTCATTTGTCTAGAAGTTGAAAACTTCCTAGGTCTTGTTTCTGGGCTGTTTTTCTTAAACTATTATTGACAAAGGTTTTGCTAACTTGTTAAGATTTATGTAATACACATATGTGTTCCCTTTGATATTGTCTGATAAATCTCCTGAAGAGTGAACCATTTATGAATTGAACATGTCTAGAAAGTTCACTCATTTTCATAAAGGACATCATAGCAGCTTGGATTCAGTTAGTATTGAAAATGTAATTGTACCAGCTTATGTTTTAGAGAAGTGATTTTTCAATATTTAGTGTTGATCTTATATAGAGAAAATGAATTCCCCAATGTATATTTTTTTCTCCCAATTTTTTAAATATGGGTTTATTTACATTTTTTTCTTCCTTTTTTTTTTTAACTTACACATTTTAAGAATTTTTAAAAATTCCTCAAGAAATCTTAGGGTTTGTGAGTGCCTTTAAAAATAGTCCTGGTGAGAAAAGTATCTGCTACTTTTCTGTGTTTTGTGTTTGAGTGGATCTTTTTGTTGAGTAGCTTATGATTGGAATTTCTTAGTGTTTATCAAATTTCATCATCTGGATTATTTAATTCTTGTACTGTACAAATGCTTACAGTTATTATGGATGATAAGTGGAGAAAACTTGAAATAAGATGTTAACTGATTTTATTTTCCCCTTATAGTAGTAACCTGTGAAAGCCACCACAACTGCACATCCTGTCTTTCTCCAGGCCCTTCTGTTACCTGCTACTGGATAGAATGCAGAGAGGGTAAGAGGCCTGGGTTTGCCTGGATTCTTTTAACAGTTGATAAGCACATCTCCCCCCAGATCCTGTAAAATTTCTTTCCTGCCTTCTCTAGTTTTGTTTGCTTTTAAACCTTTAAGGTTGATAATTAAGATTCAGTTGCTTTTAAAGGAAAAAAGATTTTCAGCATTTTGGAAGCATTAAAAGTACTAATACACTGGAATTAGCTATGAAAAAAAAAAGTGCCATTTCCCCCAAGCAATCTGAAGGAAAACCTGATGAAGCTTCTTGGTTGATTGTACTAGACAAACATCCTGCAGGGTAAACTATAATGTGGAAGAGACTTCATGAAACTATTTGCTTTGGTGTATTGGAAGAGGATAGGAGATAGGAAGACTGTTGACTCTTAGATGTGCATATTTTAAATTTTAAAAGTTACGTGTGCATTTTTTTGAGGCATAAAATGCTAGTTAGAATGTGTTGAAGTTTATAGGATTTTTATTAGAATGATGGCATTATGACATATTTAACTTTTGTTTTCTTAATGTAAGATGATTGTGTGTTTGGGCTTGTTTTTTTAATCATCAAAATAATTGATGTTTTTAAAGGCTGAGTCTCAAAATCCTGTTAAATTTTTTCTTGAAAAAATAATTAGAATTCTTCAGATTATGTAACTATACAGCCCACTGTCATTGAGTCAGTTCCGACTCATTGTGACCTTGCATTGGATTTCTAAGGCTAATGGATTCGAACTGATGACCTTTCAGTTACCAGCACAAAAATGCAGTGCTGTACTGCACCACAAGAACTCCTTTTCAAAAAAACTCTTCTCAAAAAAAAAAAAAAAAAAACCAAACCTCTTTCAGAATTAAGATACTAGCCTAATTTTAGATTAAATTTCTTTTTTTGTGTGTGTATAAGAGTCATAAGTTTAAGGTCATGAGATACAATTTAATATTCCTTCCCTCATATGTGGCAGTAGTCTATAGTAGGAGTTGGCATGTTCTGAAGATTTAATGTCACACTTAAGATTTTCTCAGGAGGGTTTTCCTTTTACTAGTGTTCCAAGGCTGCCTACCTAGGATAGCTGTTTTAGAAATTAGAAATCTAAAGTAGTGAGATCTGGAACAGAGGTCAGTTTTATCTGTTCATTGTATTTACATAAATTTCAAAAGGATAAAATTGGGAGAGCTCCCTTTTAATATCATTAATTTAGCGTGAAAAGGAAAATGACAGTACTCTTTGGTCTTTAAATGTTTATGTGTGGATTTAAATTTTTTTAGAAGTAATTCTAGAGTTTAGTAGTAAAATTTAAGATAATGCAAGTGATTGGTGTTATTTGTCTTTTTTAAAAAATAGCAAGTAAGAGCTACTGTTCACAGAATTCAACAACTAGTGATTGCCACATGGTGAATGACACAAACTTATGTTCTGGTAAGTTTTTACCTTTGCTGCTGGGAGAGTGGCCATGGAGGGGTGGTGGTGTGTACCATCAAGTCGGAACCAACTCATAGGCAACCCTCCAGAAGATTTTCAGAGGCAGTAAATTGCATACAAGGAGATTGACCATCTTTCTCCTGTTATATAGCTGGAAAGTATGAACTGCATTCCTTTGGGTTAGCAGCATAAGTCCTTACCGCTGAGTCATGAGAACTCTCTGTGGAGAGGTGAGGAAATACAAATAAAGTAATAAGAATGACAGTGAATTCTGGAAAAATTACCCATATTTTTTTCTTATTTTTAAAATAAGTTTTGTAATTCACTGTAGTTTGTATCTCCTCTATTTGCATTTTACAGGCCTGGGCAATCTCATTTTTGCCTTGCTGGATTGTAGATTGGTGCTGGTAATTCTTAGACCTACTTTCTAGCAAGTTTGTGCTGTGATTAAACAAACCTCTCGATTTATCCATTTCTTAGATTTAATTTGCTGTCTTATTTAATCTTAAACCATTACTTCTGTGAAAGTAGATAAAATTTCTAGGTAAAGAAGCTGATCTTCCTAATGAATTAAAATTAATGGGGGGAAATCAAACTACTGAATTGAAAAGAGAAAATACATTTCTGGAATGTGTCAGTATTACTTTTAACTAATTTTAGAAGACTTTTCCCCAGCAATTTGAACTTCTAAGGTGAGAATTTTGTTAGTTTTATCCTGTGTGTTGTTTTTAGGTATCATCAAGTCAGCTGCAAATCATAGTGACCCTATAAACAAATCTAAACCTTGCTCTGTCCTGCACCATCATGATCTTGGATAAGCGCAAGCTCGTTGCTATAGTCACTGTGTCTGCCCATCTTGTTGAGGGTCTTCTCCTTCTCTGTCTCTGACCCTCCAACTTTCCCAGCATGATGGCCTTTTCCAAGGGCTGGCCCCTCTTGACAACATGCCCCAAGTAGAAAGTCATTGATCTTGATTTTGTCATTCTCACTCATTTTTCCAATTTTCAGATGCAAAGAAAACAGTTGAAAATACTATAGCTTGGGTCAGGTGCGCTTAGTCTTTAAATGGATATTACTGGGGTTT